GGATAAAGGCTTGTTGTTGTTGTTGTTGTTGTTGTTGTTGTAGAAAGATAGAGACAAAAATATTTTAAGATTGGCTATTATGATCAACAATGCCTGGTAATTCATAATTTCATATGCTAATTTATTTATTTTTGTTATCATTTTACTAGTTCAAGAGTTGTATTGCCTTTGCATTAAGTGATTAGAAAGGGTTTTAATTTTAATTTATATTTTTAAACATTCACATTTTAAACTTGAAAAAATATATTTTGCCTTTAAAAGCTTAGTGGCACTATTATGCAACTTCTTTGTTTGTTCACATAGTGTTTGTGTACTAAAATGCCAGATAGAAATCCCATACATACTAAATTTCATCAAGTATGCTCTAAATTAATACCATTTAGACATTTCTTTAGTGTGATAACATTTCTAAGAAATTCTTGAAAAAACTAAATTTTTGTTTGATTAATTAACCCAACAAATTTGTTGAATTAGGTCTAATGAGGATAGTCTTCAAAATTAAACTAAGAAAAAAAATACACACATGAACAACTTGTTGCCAATTCTATTTTTAGTGTCATAACAAAAACACAACATAATCATTTATATTGAAGTTGAAACTTGCTTTTGATAAGTGTGCTACAAATGTCATTGCATGATAATGGAAAACCAATTAGACAATAAAAGCATGATTGCCATGCACAAAAACTTCTAAAGGGGAAATAAAACAACAAAGTAAGCTAGTTTTTGTTGGTATAAATCCTTGAAATCAAATTTATATATTTACCATTGTTTTTTTAATCGCACAAATCCATAGTTTTGTTCATCAGCCTATCCTTTCTAAGCAAATCCCATCTAAATTAAATCTTAATTTGACATTTAAATAATATAAAGAAATATCCAGCCAATATACAAAATACATGTCAATAAAAAGGTAAACTTTTTGGCTCACCTGAAGAGCAAAGAACTTAGTGTTCAAATTTTGAGAATTCTGCAAAATGTGAACCACTTGGAGCCACATATCTTGGTTGTTCTGAAGGTCCCTTAGTATATGGTCTGCCGCTGCCCTCTATATAGAATATCAAGTGGTGCTAGGAAATTAGCTAACTATCGTAAAAAATATCAATTCAAATGAAAATGTAATCATCAGACGATAAATGCATATTCAAGAAAGATTAAGGGCATGATCGGGCAAAAATAAATGAAGAGGCATTCACAAGATTTATGAATGCGATCAAGAAAACGCCCTCAGCTTTCAGATTCATTCAAACAAACTCAACATGAAAAACATAAGAGAACCTTAACCACAAGAAAGCTAGAACTTCTTGCAGCAAGACCCGAGAAAAAGACATAAATAGTGCCATGCATGTACAAAGCTAAAAAATTCAGCACAGGGACGCGTTCAACCGCCACAGAAAGAGCAATAAACGATATTATAAAAGCGAAAAAATAAAAGTTGCAACGATGATAATGAAAGACGAGCTAAGAAAATCGAGCAATCAATGTCAAATTAAAGGAAAGCCAAATGCACGTTCGACCAAAAACCCTAAACCTGACAGCGCCCAAAACAACAAAAAGTGCAACGAGCCGACATAGAAGCCATGCTCCAGGGGGCAGAACGATTCTAGAAAAAGAGAGACGGAGATAGCAAGTGCAGGTGGAGAGAAAGCACACCTCTTCTTTAGATCCCGTGCCATAAAAGGCAGCGACCGTAGCGTCGAGGAGCGGGACATCGATCGGCTTGCTCAAATCCCTCAGCTTCTCCGCCGCCATGGCGGATCGAGTACGGAAACCCTAGAAACGGTGGCCGGGTAGAATCGCTGCCGAGGAGGAGAGTTCGAGGAGTAAAAGAAGCGGGAGAACCGAAAGACAGGATTACGAAACCCTAGTTCTGGCTTTATCGGGTCCAAAATGCGTCAGCGTCGAATGGGAGTTAGAAGAAATGAGGGGGAAGGGATACGAGTTGAAGAGGTTTTCTTTCCCTCTCTTTTCTTTTTATTCCTCTCACCTCTCTCCGATAAAAAAAGGAAGCGAGAAATGGGCGCTGGGCTCTGTACAGATATCTAGGGCTCAAATTTTTTTTATGCCGTTCTGATTTCCACGGGTTCCAGCGTTATTTTCGACTTGCATGGCCTCCCCACCTATTTTTGGTCCTTACTTAAAAATCTACTGTGATGGATAAATAGTCCCATATTAGTTAGATATAAGGCCAAAAAGTAATATTTAAGTTCTGGGCTGCTCACTACCTATAAAGACTCTTTTGGGAGGTGACAAGTGGTATCAAAGCAGATTACTGCATTTCATGTGTGTGGACTCCCAATGATCCAGTGGGACCCACGGTGAAGCCGATCTATGACGAGGGCATCACGCGATTGGGTGGAGGAGACAAAAAGTCTCACATCGATTAGGTGTAGGGCCGAAAAGCAGTATTTAAGTCTTGGGCTGCCCACCACCCCTAAGAGCTCTTTTGGGAGGTGATAAGTTGTATCAGAGCAGATTATTATCTATCAGGTGTGTGGACTCTCCATGGTCCAGTGGGAACCTCGATGGAGTCTATCCGTGATGAGGGCGTCACGTGATTGGGTGGAGAAGAATGTCAAGGACAAATAGTCCCACATCGGCTAGGTGTTGGGCTAAAAACAGTATTTAAGTCTTGGGCGTCCACTTCTATTAAGGGCTCTTTGGGAGGTGACAAGTGGTATCAGAGCAAATTACTGTCTGCTAGTTAGGTGTAGGGCCGAAAAGCAGTATTTAAGTCTTGGGCTGCCCACCACCCCTAAGAACTCTTTTGGGAGGTGATAAGTTGTATCAGAGCAGATTATTATCTATCAGGTGTGTGGACTCTCCATGGTTCAGTGGGAACCTCGGTGGAGTCTATCCGTGATGAGGGCGTCACGTGATTGGGTGGAGAAGAATGTCAAGGATAAATAGTCCCACATCGGCTAGGTGTAGGGCTAAAAGCAGTATTTAAGTCTTGGGCTGCCCACTTCTATTAAGGGCTCTTTGGGAGGTGACAAGTGGTATCAGAGCAAATTACTGTCTGCTAGATGTGTGCTCTCCATGGTCCAGTGGAACCCTTGGTGGAGTCTATCCGTGACGAGAGCGTCACGTGATTGGGTGGAGGAGACAAAAAGTCCCACATCGGTTAGGTGTAGGGCAGAAAAATAGTATTTAAGGCTTGGGCTGCCCACCACCCCTAAGAGCTCTTTCGGGATGTGATAAGTTGTATCAGAGCAGATTACTGCCTATCAGGTGTGTGGACTCTTCATGGTCTAGTGGGACCCTCGGTGGAGATTATCCGTGATGAGGGTGTCACGTGATTGGGTGGAGAAGAATGTCAAGGACAAATAGTCCCACATCGGCTAGGTGTAGGGCTAAAAGCAGTATTTAAGTCATGGGCTGCCCACCTCTATTAAGGGCTCTTTTGAGAGATGACAAGTGGTATCAGAGTAAACTACTGTTTGTCAGATGTGTGGACTCTTCATGGTCCAGTGGGACCCTCGGTGGAGTCGATCCGTGACGAGAGCGTCCATGATTAGATGGAGGAGAATGTCACGGACAAATAGTCCCACATCGGCTAGGTGTAAGGCCAAAAAACAGTATTTAAGTTTTGGGCTGCCCACCACCCATAAGGGCTCTTTAGGGAGGTGACACTACGCTCATAATAAATTAATTAATTTTTTGTAGGATTATTTTGGAGTCATAAAATACACATTAACAAAGGCTTACATAAAGGGAAAAGCAACTTGAAATTTATGTTTTAATTTACATTTTCCTAGAGTGTATCTTAACAATTACATCAAAACTATTGACAAAAAAATAGAGGAGACTAAGGGTCTGTTTAGGGCAGCTTATAGGTGCAGCGGCATTTTTTGAAAACGTCGTTGTACTGTTTGTTTTGTGCGTTTAGGCAGCTTTTTTGTAAACGACATTTGAAAATAGGGTAAAACACGATCGCGAGTTTCGACCTACGATCAGCGTTTCGAATGCCCGTTTTTACTTGACTGCCCCTCCTTCGTGCCCTAATATTTGGCTTCGGACTCCTTATTCACCACTTTGCTCCACTCTGCCTCTCCCGAAGGAAGATGCAAGCTCTGCATCCACCGAAGCTCTCTGCCGCAAAAAGTAATATTTAAGTTCTGGGCTGCTCACTACTTATAAAGACTCTTTTGGGAGGTGATAAGTGGTATCAAAGCAGATTACTGCATTTCATGTGTGTGGACTCCCAATGGTCCAGTGGGACCCACGGTGAAGCCGATCTGTGACGAAGGCGTCACGTGATTGGTTAGAGGCAAAAAGTAATATTTAAGTTCTGGGCTGCTCACTACCTATAAAGACTCTTTTGGGAGGTGACAAGTGGTATCAAAGCAGATTACTGCATTTCATGTGTGTGGACTCCCAATGATCCAGTGGGACCCACGGTGAAGCCGATCTATGACGAGGGCATCACGCGATTGGGTGGAGGAGACAAAAAGTCTCACATCGATTAGGTGTAGGGCCGAAAAGCAGTATTTAAGTCTTGGGCTGCCCACCACCCCTAAGAACTCTTTTGGGAGGTGATAAGTTGTATCAGAGCAGATTATTATCTGTCAGGTGTGTGGACTTTCCATGGTCCAGCGGGACCCTCGGTGGAGCTGATCCTTGACGAGGGCGTTACGTGATTGGGTGGAGGAAAATGTCACAGACAAAAAGTCTCACATTGGCTAAGTGTAGGGCAGAAAAATAGTATTTAAGCCATGGTCTGCCCCCCACCGTTTATATATATTTAATCATGTATCTCTATTATTTTTATTAGTTGTGTGGACTCTCCATGGTCCAGTGGAACCCTTGGTGGAGTCTATCCGTGACGAGAGCGTCACGTGATTGGGTGGAGGAGACAAAAAGTCCCACATCGGTTAGGTGTAGGGCAGAAAAATAGTATTTAAGGCTTGGGCTGCCCACCACCCCTAAGAGCTCTTTCGGGATGTGATAAGTTGTATCAGAGCAGATTACTGCCTATCGCCTGTCAGGTGTGTGGACTCTCCATGGTCTAGTGGGACCCTCGGTGGAGATTATCCGTGATGAGGGTGTCACGTCGCGTGAGTGGGTGGAGAAGAATGTCAAGGACAAATAGTCCCACATCGGCTAGGTGTAGGGCTAAAAGCAGTATTTAAGTCCTGGGCTGCCCACCTCTATTAAGGGCTCTTTTGAGAGATGACAAGTGGTATCAGAGCAAACTACTGTTTGTCAGATGTGTGGACTCTTCATGGTCCAGTGGGACACTCGGTGGAGTCGATCCGTGACGAGAGCGTCCATGATTAGATGGAGGAGAATGTCACGGACAAATAGTCCCACATCGGCTAGGTGTAAGGCCAAAAAACAGTATTTAAGTTTTGGGCTGCCCACCACCCATAAGGGCTCTTTAGGGAGGTGACACTACGCTCATAATAAATTAATTAATTTTTTGTAGGATTATTTTGGAGTCATAAAATACACATTAACAAAGGCTTACATAAAGGGAAAAGCAACTTGAAATTTATGTTTTAATTTACATTTTCCTAGAGTGTATCTTAACAATTACATCAAAACTATTGACAAAAAAATAGAGGAGACTAAGGGTCTGTTTAGGGCAGCTTATAGGTGCAGCGGCATTTTTTGAAAACGTCGTTGTACTGTTTGTTTTGTGCGTTTAGGCAGCTTTTTTGTAAACGACATTTGAAAATAGGGTAAAACACGATTGCGGGTTTCGACCTACGATCAGCGTTTCGAATGCCCGTTTTTACTTGACTGCCCCTCCTTCGTGCCCTAATATTTTGCTTCGGACTCCTTATTCACCACTTTGCTCCACTCTGCCTCTCCCGAAGGAAGATGCAAGCTCTGCCTCCACCGAAGCTCTCTGCCAAAGGAAGCTTTACGTTTAAGGAAGCTTGCTCCGCTCTGCCTCCGCCGAAGGCAGCTTGCTCCAACCTTGGTAAGAAATCCCGATCTTCCCTCCTCTCATGCATTTATTCTTCCCTCTTAAATTCTTTCCCTGAGGTTCTTATCCCCCGATTTTTAGGTCTGCCCTATCTGTTTCCTTTAGCTCTGATGTTCCTCCTCAGCAAGCTCCTTCTTCAACATTCTCAGAAGGTAAACTTCTTCGACCGCACATTTATTCCTCTTTTTCGCAGTAAGCATTATTTCATTTTCAAGGAGAGGTAGATCAACAGATATGTCATGAAATATTCATTTACTTTTAATCTATTCTAATGTGATTTGTCCTTGTAAGTAAAATGAGGATGTTGATTAGGGATACAGGTTCATGCATTTGTTATTTTTTTTAAATGAATTATCGATTTGTTTGTAGAAAATTTAAAAAAATGCAACATTTAAATTTTAGCTTAGTAAAGTTTTATCTTCTCATTCTAAATGTCTATTTATGCTCTTCTTTTTATTACTCAAAACTATCAAGTTTATTGTAAATATCACCAACCCATGTCATTAATTCCATGTCATCAGAAAGCCTGAACATGTAAGACCACAACTTTCTTCTATGCAATCAAAACCTATTTGAAAAAACTTTGATGCATTGATTCATAAACATATGATGTTAAAAATTCTTGAAATCATTATGATTTGCATAAGAATGTAGTATTTTGCTGTTGGATTTGACTTTGTGTTTTTTTTGGAAATAAGGATTGATGGGTAAACTTAAGTTTTATTTTGTAATATTGTCATATATATGTATATAACATTGAGAACTAACTGAATTTTTAGTCAATATTGGAGTTTTAGGGTCATGTTATTAAATGCATTTTTTTTCTTATTTAACCTTTCACTAGTAAGTATCACAATGTAGTAAGTACCACAATGAATAAGGGCAAATAAGTTGGATCATCTGCGATGTGGGACAAGGAAGCAACAAATATTTTCTGTGATCTCTGTTTTAAGAAGGCGGAGCTAGGAAATAGACCTACGACATATTTTAACAAAGAATGTTGGAATAATATTTCTGTCAAATTCAAAGAACTCACAAGCAGAGACTACGACAGGATGAAATTTAAGAACAAGTTGGATCAATCAAAGAAGGATTGAAAATTT